ATTCTAATGCGGGAATCTAACCCGCCGACAGGAGTAAAAACAGGGGCAACGACAAAATACACGCCACGCCAAAACCGCCTGACCGTCTGACCCCTGTCCGGCTCGAGTTCATTCTCACGCCCATCCATTGGCCCGAGTGCAGTAAACAATGTTCACGCGCCCAACCTCCTATCGGACAAGAAACATTCTCGTAACCTAGCGACTCCTTAGATGATGCAGGCGAGTCAGCTGTCACGACGTTGATTAGCCGAATTTTCGGATTGCCTCACGGCTATTGGTCAGCGAATATTCTAGAACGTCTGTCCATCCGAATATATCAACCGGGCGCACTCGCATTATGCCACGTTTTCTGTCGCTCCGTCTCCTCAATCAACTATAATCATGAGCAAAGCACCAGCCGTTGGTATCGACTTGGGCACTACGTACTCCTGTGTGGGTGTTTTCCAACATGGCAAGGTGGAGATCATCGCCAACGACCAGGGCAACCGCACAACACCCAGCTATGTGGCCTTCACCGACACCGAACGTCTCATCGGTGACGCCGCGAAGAACCAGGTGGCCATGAACCCCACCAACAGTGTGTTCGATGCCAAGCGTCTGATCGGCCGCAAGTTTGATGATCCGACTGTGCAGCTCGATATGAAGCACTGGCCATTCCACGTAATCAATGTGGGCGGAAAGCCAAAGATTCAGGTGGAATGTAAGGGTGAGACGAAGACCTTCTTCCCCGAGGAGATCTCATCTATGGTGCTGTTGAAGATGAAGGAGACGGCCGAAGCTTTCCTGGGCCGTCCGGTGACGGATGCGGTGGTTACTGTTCCTGCCTACTTCAATGACGGTCAGAGACAGGCCACAAAAGATGCTGGCACTATTTCGGGCCTGAATGTGCTTCGCATCATCAACGAGCCGACTGCCGCAGCCATTGCCTACGGTCTGGACAAGAAGGTTGGTAGCGAACGCAACGTCCTCATCTTCGATCTCGGTGGTGGCACATTCGATGTCTCCATTCTGTCCATTGAGGATGGCATCTTCGAGGTGAAGTCAACTGCCGGTGACACCCATTTGGGTGGTGAGGACTTTGATTCTCGATTGGTGAATCACTTTGCAACTGAATTCAAGCGAAAACACAAGAAGGACTTGCTGGAGAACAAGAGAGCTGTGCGTCGTCTGCGTACTGCATGTGAGCGAGCAAAGCGTACTCTGAGTTCCAGTGCACAGGCCAATGTTGAGATTGACTCTCTGTTTGAGGGAATCGACTTCTACACGTCAATCACGAGGGCTCGTTTCGAGGAGCTGTGTGGTGACCTCTTCCGTGGCACTCAAGAACCCGTGGAGAAGGCCCTTCGCGATGCGAAGATGGACAAAGCACAAATTCACGAGGTGGTGTTGGTGGGTGGATCTACTCGTATTCCGAAGATTCAGAAGTTGCTGCAAGATTTCTTCAACGGCAAGGAACTGAATAAGACTATCAACCCAGATGAGGCTGTTGCCTATGGAGCTGCGGTGCAGGCCGCCATTCTGTCGGGTGACAAGCATGAGGTTGTGCAGGATCTTCTGCTGTTGGACGTGGCGCCGCTGTCGATGGGTTTGGAGACTGCTGGTGGAGTGATGACCACCCTGATCAAACGAAACACGACAATTCCAACGAAGCAGACGCAGACCTTCACCACTTACTCGGACAACCAGCCAGGCGTGCTGATTCAAGTGTACGAGGGTGAACGAGCAATGACGAAGGACAACAATCTGTTGGGCAAGTTTGAGTTATCGGGAATTCCACCGGCTCCTCGTGGTGTACCGCAGATAGAAGTGACCTTCGATATTGACGCCAACGGCATTCTGAATGTTTCGGCGTGTGACAAGTCCACGGGCAAGTCGAACAAGATTACCATCACCAACGACAAGGGTCGTCTGTCGAAGGATGACATTGAACGGATGGTGCAGGAGGCGGACAAGTTCAAGGCCGAGGATGAGGCCCAGAGGAGTCGAATCGCAGCGAAGAATGGACTGGAGAGCTATGCTTTCTCGATGAAGTCGACGATAGAGGAGGAGGGTCTGAAGGAGAAGTTGGCGGAGGATGACAAGAAGAAGATCGCGGAGAAGTGTGACGAGACCCTGCAGTGGTTGGACAGTAATCAGACAGCGGAGAAGGAGGAGTTTGAGCACAAGCAGAAGGAGCTGGAAGCAGTGTGCAATCCGATAATAACGAAGATCTATCAAGGTGCTGGTGGTGCCGCAGGGGGTATGCCGGGCGGTTTTCCGGGTGGCATGCCTGGTGCCGGCGCTGGAACAGGTGACGGCAGCAGTGCTGCTGGTGGCGGCAAAGGTCCAACCATCGAGGAGGTTGATTAAGCTTGTATTTTGACAATATTGAGTAAATAGTGCCGTGTGGTTTTGGTCTTTTGTTCTCTTAAATGGGTCCGGTTGATCGTTTTGTATTTCCTATGCAATGCGGATTTGGAGGGCTCTAAGATTGCCGCAGTTAAAGGTCTATGACTATGATAAGAAATTGACGGTAAGTGCACTGAGAGGAAGGTTGATTAAGCTTGTATTTTTACAATATTGAGTAAATAGTGCCGTGTGGTTTTGGTCTTTTGTTCTCTTAGATTGGTCTGGTTGATCGTTTTTTAGTGGATTTGCAGGGCTCTAGGTGGCGGGGGGGTTTCCCCGATACGTCTTGAGTTTGCGTTAGGGTGCTAACTTCGTAAATGATACGTGTTTATGGTAGTCTAGGGTCGTTGGTCTGAAATAGGTTACGTTGCGCTCGTTGCAAGAATTGGTAGATTATTTTGTGGGGGTAGGTCATCGGCTCGGACGTTGCTATATCAGTTGATGGTTGGGGTTTGTATAGTTCAGGTGCGGAAGGTGTGGATGTTCTTGTAGTCTATCCGGTGTGTCTGGTCGTCCGCAGCCGTCGCAATAG